TATTACTACCCATTACTACCCATTACTACCCATTACTGCCTATTACTGCCTATTAATACCTATTACTACCTATTACTGCCTATTACTACCCATTACTCCCTATTACTACCCATTACTACCCATTACTACTTATTACTACTTATTACAGCGTATAGAAGCTAACAGTAGTAGTACTCCAGCGGTACAGTAATGTATACCTTTTACAGTGTAAACTATTTGTTCTGCCTCTTAAAATAATTTTGCTCATAACTTCTACTTTTTTCCCGCTTTTGAATTTTTTCTTAAATTTGATCTTTTTATTTATTTCCAACATTTAACAAATAAGTAAAAAAAAACAACAACAGAAATAAATACAAGGAATAGTAAACATTTAGCAACATGTCTAAATAGAGATTCCTATAAACTACATGAATAAAAAGGAGTAGAAAGAAGTATGAACTCATATGATCCTACAACTCATAAAGAACAGCACCGGTGATATTATGTTCAACCCAAATATCGACACAGTGTCAATCGGATAGAACTTAAACGACCTCAAATTCATCCAACCCGAGACTCATAGCTAACTAGAGCTTCTTGATTTATATATTTGGACTTTGCTTGAGTTCTCCAGTCAACTATATGTATCAGATTGCACTATTTAGGAACAGCAAGCATGTTCTGTAAGTACAAGGACAACACAGTTGAATTGAAGAAGTATTAGCAGCAGCAGCAGCAGCAGTAGTACCTCTATCTGTGAGGTGAGCAGGTCGTAGTACTCCAGTGGGTCTTGTTCCACTACAGCAGCTGGAGCTGAGGACTTCAACATCTGGGACAGAGGACGGTTGTTCAGGTTGTTCAACTGAAGACAGAAAAACACAAACAGAATCATGATGTGATGATGATGATGATAGAGGGATGAATGAACGGGTGAATGGTTGGAGGGATGGATGGATGAATGATGGATAGATGAATGAATGAATGAATGAATAAATCAATGGGCAGAAGGATGGGTGGATAGATGGATTGATGGATGGACGGGCGAATGGATGGATGTAAGGATGGATGGATGATTAGATGGATGGATGGATGATTAGAGGGATGGATGGATGGATGGATGGATGAATGATTAGATGGATGGATGGATGGATGAATGATTAGATGGATGGATGGATGAATGGATGGATGAATGATTAGATGAATGATTAGATGGATGGATGGATGATTAGAGGGATGGATGGATGGATGGATGAATGATTAGATGGATGGATGGATGAATGGATGGATGAATGATTAGATGGATGGATGGATGAATGGATGGATGAATGATTAGATGGATGGATGGATGGATGAAATGAATGGATGGATGAATGATTAGATGGATGGATGGATGAATGGATGGATGAATGATTAGATGGATGGATGAATGATTAGAGGGATGGATGGATGAATGAAGAGCTTACCATGGAGGAGATTCCCTCCTCTCCCTCTTTACTGTTCTTTTGAGGTTTCAGGAGGTTCTGAAGGACCTTGTTGTGTCTGGCCAGCTGCAAACAAACAAACAAACAAACAAACAAACAAACAAACAAACAAACAGGAGTGAAAACGTATTCACAGAAGTACAAACACTAACTGAGAGGAGAGTGGGATCTCCTGTCGGCCAATAGGAGAGCACAGAAGAATCCAGGCAGCCAATGAGGAGTTTAGTCACCTGCTGAGCCAGGATGTAGATGTTGTGTCCCACCTCGCGGGGAGAAACCTCCCCCTCCTCACACTCACTGTCCTGTTGGTAGGCCTTCTTTATCACCTCCACCTGCGCACACACACACAGGTACATTATATCTGAACACATATCACCAACAACCGCTTTAATTCAAATCTGTTAGAGAGGATCTGACCAGCTCTCGAGGTCGGAGGTTGAACAGGATCCTCTCTGCGTTCTCGCTGTCATGACGACTCTCCATCAGAGCCAACAGCAGCTTGGAAGCGTTGTCCTGGCAACCGGGAAGAAAACAGCAAATCAAACAACAGGCGGACGAAGAACAAAGAACCAACACCGTAAACACGTGCGTATCCCAATATATAAGAAGTGGACATAGTCATCGTGATGTCACCCATTCATTTGTGGACTGCGGACCATCTTGGTTTAATGCAACCAGTGAACAGGAAGTGACCATATTAGGACTGAGGAGGAGTGACGTAGAGACGCTGTATACGTCTCTGGTAGA